AAAAAAAACAGAGAATAAACAAGAAAAAACAGAGAAAAACAGAAAAGAAACACAGAAAATAAACGAGAAAAAACATGAAAAACAGAAAACAAACAAGAAAAAAACAAAGAAAAAAACAGAAAACAAACAAGAAAAAAACAAAAAAAAAAAACAGAAAACAAACAAGAAAAAAAAACATAACAAAAAACAGAAAACAAACAAGACAAAAAGAAAAGAAAAAACAGAAAAACAAAACAAAACAATCCCCCTTACCAGCCGCCAGACACAGATACCAATAAACACCGAAGTGAGTCGTGAGAATATCATCCTCAAAAGGCACTTGCAGTTCGATGGGGTTCCTATGCGCCGCCCATATGACAGCGGCGGAGGTGAGGGAGACGCCCATCAGTATCATCGTCTTTGAAGCGTAGTTGAGGTTTATCTTGGCCAGAATTATCGTCAAGAGCCACAGGGGGAAGGCGAACCTGTATGTGGGGAGGGAGGGGTACGGGGAGAGGAAGAAGGAGGGAAGGAGGGTAGGAGGAAGGAGGGAGGAGGAAGGAGGGAGGAGAGAGGGAGGGAGGAGGAAGGAGAGAGGACGGGGAAGAGTATGGTTTGAGATGTATATTTTTTGTATATTTTAGAATATTTATATTTTTTCTTTTTTCTTAATTATCATTATTATTATTATTTTTTGCATATCCATTTATATTTTTTTGTGTCTTTGTTTGTATATTTGTCCGTTTGTCCTTGAGTGTATCTGTACGTCTTTGTCTTTGTTCTTTCTTATTGTCTGTTTCTTTGTCTCTTTTTCTCTCTCTATCTCTGTCTGTCTGTCTCTTTCTCTTTCACTCTTCGTGTATGAGTGGTTATATATAGTGTGTGTATATGGGTGTGTGTATTTGTGTGTGTGTGTGTAAATGTATGTATTTATGTTTGTGTGTGTGCAAGTGTGTGTGTGTGTGTGTGTGTGTGTGTGTGTGTGTGTGTGTGTGTGTGTGTGTGTGTGTGTGTGTGTGTGTGTGTGTGTGTGTGTGTATGTTTGCACTGAATGTACGATTATGTAGTTCCGATAATCTGTTCGTGGTAATGAATGGTCTCGTTATATGGAGCTAATTACCATGGTCTTCCTTTCAGAGATTATCTGTTTAGGGGGATTAACATAAATCTAACACACACACACAAGCTCGCGCATTCTCTCTTTCTCTCTCTCTCTCTCTCTCTCTCTCTCTCTCTCTCTCTCTCTCTCTCTCTCTCACACACACACACACACTTTCTCTCTCTCTCTCTCCTTTCTTCCTCTCAATCTCTCTCTCTCTACCTCCCTCTTTCTCTGTGTGTGTCTCTTTTCTTTCTCTCTCTCTTTTCTTCCTCTCAGTCTCTCTCTCTCTGTCTGTCTGTCTGTCTATCTGTCTCTCTCTCTCTTTCTCTCTCTCTCTCTCACACACACACTCTCCCTCTCTCTCCTTTCTTCCTCTCAATCTCTCTCTCTACCTCCCTCTTTCTCTCTCTCTGTCTCCTTTCTTTCTTTCTCTCCTTTTTCCTCTCAATCTCTCTCTCTCTCTCTCTCTCTCTCTCTCTCTCTCTCTCTCTCTCTCTCTCTCTCTCTCTCTCACACTCCCTCTCTCCTTTCTCTCAATCTCTCTCTCTCCCTCCCTCTTTCTCTCTGTGTCTCCTTTCTTTCTCTCTCTCCTTTCTTCCACGCGCCCATCCACCCATGCACACGCCCACCCTCACGCCCACCGTACTCACCAAATACACATATGGGCGTACCACCCAGACAGGCGATAGTGACGCCCGAATCTAAACCCTTCACCATCATACGTAAAATATTCAGCCACCCACAGGATCGGATATGGAACGCCCCTTTGCTGAGCCGCCCTGAAGTCCTGTTGTATTTGTCCCGCTGTGGAAAAGAAAAGGAAAAAGATGAGTAATGATGAAAATGGAAAATTGAAAAAAAAGAAAGAAAGAAAAAAATGGAGATAGAAATGGGAGAAAAATATATATGGGGTGAGAGGGGTGTGATAATCATTATTATCATCATAATTATTATGATCATCATTATTATCATCATAATTATTATTAGTATTATCATTATCATCATCATAATTATTATTATTATTATCATTATTATCATCATAATCATTATTATTATAATTATCAAAATCATCAATGATTATTATTATTATAATTTTATTATTATTATTATTACCATCATTATTATCAATCACTATCATTAGCACTATCATTAACATTATCACCATTATCATTATCGTTATCCACCACACTCACCAAAAGGCCCAAAGCCAGCTCTGCCCTGTGCCCATGTCCAGGAAAATCTCTCATTGTAGTCAATTTTCTCTCCTGCTAAATCACCCTCGGGTTTTTCAACAGCTGTGGAGGAAGAGAGAGAGAGATAAAGAGAGTAAAGAGGAGAGAGAGAGAGAGAGAGAGAGAGAGAGAGAGAGAGAGAGAGAGAGAGAGAGAGAGAGAGAGAGAGAGAGAGAGATAAAGAGAT